CTTCAATGCCAGTATGGGCTATTGTGGTGGCAAACATTACATCAGACTGGGGAGCCTATACATTACTGACCAACATACCAACATACATTAATGAAGTTTTGAAATTTGATATAACTTCTGTAAGCAAATGTTTTGCTGTGTTGTTGTTTTTTGTATGTGTAGCTAAAATTACTTGTTTTTTGTTTTGTTTTATGACTCTCTGACAATCCATCTGACATGAAGATTATTATGTCCTTGTCCGAACCTACTACAGATTGGCAGGGTAATGGAAGCAGGGCCCAAACTCAGGCCCTTTATAATGATAGTCCTAAGAACATAGAGGATTAGTAGCATTCCAGCTGAGAGCCTATACTAATACATATACAAACATGTAGGGGGTGTGGTGAGGTGGCAGAATGGTAATGAACTTGGCATTCAAACCGATGAGTCTCTGGTTTCAATTTCACTGAGATCTGGGATTTTCATTTTCACACACACCTGAGCCAAATCAACTCTGATGGGTAATTGACATTACTTGGGAAAAGTAAAGTTGGTTGGTGATTGTGCTAGCTACATTACGCCATGTTTAGCCATCGGTCATAGAAACAGATGATCTCTACATTGTCTGCCTTATAGATTGCAAGGTCATCAATAAAGTTCACAAATTGATGTAACTGTCTGTAAGCAAATGTCTGTATGTGCAGCTGACATGAGCTAACATAATATAATTACATACTGGGGAGCATACACATAACTTACCAATATTTCAACATACTTTAAACAAAGTTATGATGTTTGATATTATTTCTAGAAGCAAATGTTTTTTGTCTGTATGAGTGTGTTGTTAGGAAGTGGTACACTCTGAATGTTTATGAAGTTGGGGAAGATTTGAATGAACTTTGAAGAGTGACGTTGCATAAATCTCTTGTTTCATGACTATCAGAATGGACTAGTATCTGCCCTACCCTACATCATGTTTTGGCTAGTGATCAACATTGGTGGCTGGATAGCTGATTTGATCAGAAAGAAGGAACTCTTATCAACTGGAATAACAAGAAAAGTATTTACTGCTGTGGGTAAGTCAGGACTAGTCATGACAACTAAAATCTTTTCTAATATTAATTGATGTAAAATTATATGTAAGCTTTAAATTATAAGAAAAATAGATTCTTTTGTGGTAATATAACAATTATAAAAAAGTTAAGTCATGCATTGAGACATAATGAGGTGCCTGATTGAGTGGATAAATGATTGGCTTCTTAAACAAGAGATCTTGGGTTCAAACCTTGATGAAAACTGGGATTTTGATTAAAGATTTTTAGGACTTGTCCTTAAAAAATCCTAACGGGTACCTCACCTCTGCTGGGAAAGAAAGGCTGTTGGTTGCTGTGCTCACCACATGACACCCTGGTTAACCATCAGCAAGAGAAATGGATCAGCATCATATCATCTGCCCCCATAGATTTCAAGGTCTAAGAGGGGTACCTTTACCTTTCTTTACCTAATGAAACAAAATTTTAAAAAAAGTTTTGACAAGTTCTCTTTCTGAATAATTATTTTGCATTTTTATTGTAATACTTTAATTCCCTGCAGCTTTACTTTATGCTTTGGTGAGTTCATATTTTTATTGTTCATGCCTACACTGTTTTTTTTTGACCAGGTAAAATAGCCCCTGCTGTGATGCTAATTGCACTGGGCTATGTGGATTGTTCACAGCCAGCTGTAGCAGTAGGACTTCTGGTCTTTGCTGTTTCTTTGACTGGCATTCAGTACAGTGGGTTTTTGGTCAACCATGTGGACATTGCGCCAGCTTTTGCTGGCATTTTGTTTGGAATCAGCAACTCTTTGGCTGCAGTGACTGGGTTTATATCTCCAGTCATTGTTGGGGTTATAACAGAAGAGGTAAAATACACAATCAAATTTTGGTTATAGAAGAGTTATACAGATGCTTAAAGAACAATCTTTTAAAGACTTGTTTAAAGAAAAATCTTATTATAAATTTAAAACTTGCACTGAATCAACTTAACAGTAATCAGTCATGAAAGTATTTTTTTTGTATGTGAAGCGACAATGGATCGTCTTATGGAAATACCTGGGCATTAGCTGTGGTTGAAACAATGTTGCCCAAACATCAATTCCCCCCTCTTTATGCAGCTGATATATCCAAAGGGATGGCAAGTGCCATACAGCATGGAGTCAGTCAGCAGAGTTTTTTTTCTTCTAGGTGGGTAACCAGCCATATTTAACAATGGCTTCCTGCCAAGGTTACTGGTTTAGGTGCAAGTTACTTGCCTTTGCCACTTTTCCTGTTAGTTAAAACATTTCTGCCAGACTCAATATCTGCTACGCGTGAAGGTCAGAATATGGGCTGGTTGTCAGAGGCTATTTGAAAGGCATACCATATGAAACATTTTATAGGTAGTACAGTGCATATATCCATTACCACTCATGAAAGCATACATTGGTTTCAGAAAAAGACAAGCTTACATCAGACACAGAAGATCTCTCTCCGTTTGCCCTGGCAAAATTTTAACTTTTCTTAAAAATCTATTAACACTTTAAGCAAAGCATGGTTATGATGGTTGGATTACTATTTTTGCTTTCACTTACAATGAAAATTTTAATTTTTAGCCGCCCCCGAAAGGGGAAAAGACGCTATTGGTTTTGTGCGAAATGTCTGTCCGCCTGTCCTGTTTAGATCTCGTAAATTAGAAAAGATATTGAAAATCCGACATCACAATATTTTAGACCATTCAAAGTGCTGATGTAATGGCTACTTTTTTTTTTCTGAAAGCGAAATCTAATTTTTAAAATCAGTTATGCAAGCAGTTTTTTAAAGAGAAAAAGCTAATTAGTATGCATTATAAGTTAGACCTAAATTAAAACGAATAGTAATCTTGAAAACTTCATTTTCGTAAAATTTTTTTATAAAATGCATGAAGCAATTGAGCCTTTTCAAAACAATTACATCAATTATAAGACTTCATTTAGGCCTGGAGAGGCGCGGTAGCTGAGCGGTAAAGCGCTTGGCTTCCAAATCGAGGGCTCCGGGTTCAAATCCTGGTGAAGACTGGGATTTTCAACTTTGGAATCCTTAGGCGCCTCTGAGTCCACCCAGCTCCTATGGGTACCTGATATTAGTTGGGGAAAAGTAAAGGCGGTTGGTCGTTGTGCTGGCTACATGACACCCTCGTTAACCGTAGGCCACAAAAACAGATGAACTTTACATCATCTGCCCTATAGACCACAAGGTCTGAAATGGGAACTAGTTAGGCCAGGTTCACATCTAACTTTGCATTCCCTTGCACCTATCCTTTGATCTGCTGTACCGTTGGGGCACTACACAAGATCTGTCAACCTTCTTTCTCCATTCTTATCTCTCATTTGTCTTTGATATAATTTCATTTGGATGTTCTTTCTGAAAATATTGAAGCCTGCCTGGGTGGACCACTTCAGGAGCCGATTTTGAGTTTGTGTTTCCACACAAACTGTCTTTGTAATCTTGTATTTATTGTTGAAATGCCAACAAAAGATTTTAAAATTTAAGTTTTTTTTTTAAATTTCTTATAGCTAAATGACTTATTTAATTTAATGACATTATAAAAGAGAAAGTATTTGTGTAACTAATATACTTTAGATTTTCTTGAAGAATGTTTTTTTTAATTAACAAAATTAAAAAAAAAACATGAAATTTACAAATAAGTTAAACTACATACTTATTATTAAGACTTATAAGTGAACTGTTTGGAGTCTCATTATTTTAAACCAACGAATTAATTATTAGTTGAACTCCTAGGAAAATAAGTTTTAATACTATATGCCATATCTCCCTTTATTTGTCCTAGCAACATGTTTCTGGAATCTACTCAATAGAGAAAGTAGCCTACAATCTATTTAGTATTTGTGAATTCCTGACTTATTATAGTAAATGTTACTAAAATGGCAGAGAGGTGTAACAGTAAAACTTGTTGAAAACTTCAGCTGTTAGCAATATGCTATAGGTCATGCCTTATGCTGTCACCATTTCACCTTGTTACATAGTCTTTATCCTAAGTCATTTAGGAGTGTCATTTTCTATTGAGATTTTGATTTGCATAGTTCAGTGTAAGAAAAAATCTCCATCATAAACCAAATAAACCATTATTTTAAACTTATATATTCATCAAAATAGCCTATTAAATAAATCATAAATACAAAAAAAAAAGCTTTTGTTGACCATTAGTGTTTTATTTTATTTTTCAGAGGCAGACGCGACTAGAATGGCAGATAGTGTTCTACATTGCTGCTGCTATCTATTTTTTTGGTGCCATATTTTTTGTTATCTTTGCCTCTGGAGAACTGCAGTCTTGGTCAGCTGAAAAGGAAAAAGATGAAGAAGTGGCATTAAAAGACAATAAGGAATCATTAAATCAAGATATTTGATTTACTCAAGAATAGTGCTAAAGAATCATTAAATCCTGATAATCAATTCACTTAAGGACAGTGCTTAGGAATTATGATTGAATCCTGACATTTCATTCACTGAAGGAGTATATTCAACATACTATTTGAACAATATATCTAAGTAGTAAGACTTTGAAAAGAACTAGATTGTATTTAAATTTGAATAATCTCTTTGAAAGCTAACACAGTATAATGATATCACATAATTTATTTGTTAAAAAAAGATATCTACAAAATCTTTTTATTTAGAAGCATATTATTAGGTGGCAAATTTGTAAATTATTAAAAAAAAACATTATTTAAGACTAGGGTATAAAATAAAATAACTTTTTTAATATTAAAGAGATTAAAAAGTTTTTAGTTTTATTCTTTAAAAAAGTAGTTATTCTTATTGTTTCATCTGCGTAATTTTGAAACATTTTTGTTTTTACAATAAATACCAATAGATTACCAAAGTTGTATAAAGTAAATTTATGTTAGTTGAATAATAACATAAAACCCATTTCTTTGGATGCGAAAACTATTTTTTACTTTAAAAGAAAAACATGACATTTGGGCAATTAAGATTATATATATATATTTATATATATATATATACACATACATATATGTATATATATGTATATATATAACATAAAGTATTTAGATTAAAGTTAATACACATTTTAACTTTGAAACATACTTTTGTCTGTCCTTTGCTTATCAACATGTTAGTGGTATATACTAGTGAAAGACTGATGTGTGTCTACAGTAGTTATAGAAAAAAAATGTTCCAGAGCCTAAGCTACCAACTTCTTTTTATAAGAAAATAAAATCAATTACAAGAATTATATTTAAAAATGGTTAATGGATATAAACATAAAATTCAAATTGAATCAATAACAATATTTTGCTATAAAATATTTTCTAATGTGTCATCTTTAAAAACATTTAGAATACAAAAAATATACCAATAAATAGATATTTTTATAATTTGATATATCATTTATTCAGTTAATAAAAAAATTATTTTGTCATGATATGACATAATGAATTCTTCCAAAGTTGAACATTTTTAGGCTATTCAAAACACAAAGAAAGTACATTTTAAATGACATGACCTTTTCTAGCATTAAAGTGAAATATTTATGTTATTGACTTGTTTTTATTGGTTATATGATATCTGTGTTGATCATTTTAACTTTCTCTGTATAAAATGAGAAACTGCCTTTTTTAAATTGTATTCCATTGTTATTTTAAAAAAGGAATGCATTTTTTAATTAAATAAACATACATTTCTTTTTAGGTATTTAATTGCTAATTCGAAAAATTAAAATATTATTACATTTGGCATTTCGAGAAGAATTTGATGAGTATTGAATAATGTTAAACTTATTGTAAACTTTGGTTTTCAATTCATTTTGTTTTTTGACTACATTAAACAAAATATAACATGAAAGAAATTAGATTGCCCTAAATTTTTAAATTTCATACTGACATTCCCATAAACGAAGGAATTTTATAGTTATATTTCATGCAATACTAATTTCTTTGCCCTATGAGTTGTATTTTTAAGTAAATTTACACTCCATCGTAACTGTTATATTGCTTGTCTTTTTTTTTCTTTCTTTAAAAGTTGCCCTACGCCATTTTTGTCTTGTAAATTTTAATTTAAAGCCATTTTACTGTAATGTACTATTATTGAAGTTTGCAAAAAGGTTCATGGAAGTTTCAACAATTGATGTCACATTAGTGAGAATTTCTTTAAAAAGAATCATATCAGTAATTGAATTTCATAGTATGACTTTACATAAAAATATGATATACATTTTACTGGCAACAAACTGAAAGAAGGATTGGATTTAGACCTATGCTATTAGAGATATGGGGCCCTTTGTATAGCAATGTTTCTTTTGCTCATTCTTTAAAATGATTGAAATTATTGCTTTAACAATTTTTGGGTGCCCTCAACCTAAACTGTAGCTTGTGTTGACTATGATAAATCCAGCACTGGATGATAGGGTAGATCTGTTTACAGATCTGTATGCAAACAAAATGAATGGCTGCCTGGTTGTGCGGTTTGTGTGCTGGACTGTCGTTTGGATTTATTGATGGTCTTGGGTTTAAACTCTGCCCGTTGTACGGTAAGAGGTTTGGACTAGGAAGTAAACTATCTTCAACTCTGAAGGAACATCTGAAACATACAACATTTTACAAAACATTTTTACAAACAATTTGTGTGTGATAAAGACATTGCACTTGTTCAGCATTTTCTTTTTTCAGCCATATTTACTTTATTCTTTGACTCTTTTAGTACTAGAACAAGATATAGTTGAACAATTTCTAACATCTTTTGATTAGAATACTTCTTTACAATGCTTTATTTTTATGAACAAGATAATTGTTTGTAACTAAATGGTCCAGTTTATAAAGAAGTTGGAGCCATTATTGTGATAACTTGTTAATGACATTGCTTTTGACAAACATTTTACTGATAGTTATTTTGATATGGGCCTATGTGTTTGTATTGATAATGTAAATTTCTGTTTTATTTAAGGCTGTACTGTCTCAAACTTTAAGATGTCAACAAAGTTTCAACCAAATCACATCTAGAAAATAAACCTGGACTGGAATCTACTTTGAGTAATATGAAACGTGACTAGATTGATTTACTTTGCAGATTGATTTACTTTGTTTAAGATAATTCTTTTTGCGGGTGGGGGGGGGTGGGAATAGAGAGAAGTGCAATGTTAATAGAAGTTCCAACAAACCAATAAGAGGATCAAATTTACAGAAAAATTTATTCTATAAATTGAGCTTCAAATATTAGTATTTTATGAAGAATACACTGTCTTGAAATTAATTACATTTTTTCCTTGTACATTTTAGAATTAAAAAAATAGATTTATAAGATCTTTATATTGTTTTTAGTCTTTTACAGTTTTATTTGTTTTGTTTCAAATTACATGATTTTTTTTTTATTGAGCAGGCAGATATTTATTTTAAGCTTTAGGTTGGGGAAGTTGTTGACATATTGTACAAATATACATGAGTCCATATCCTTTTTATTTTACCCCAATTACTTGTAATAGCTTTTACCTTTTTATCCGTTAAGCATTTTAGAAACTGCAATTTATGTTTACTTTGTACTGTCGCATAGAATTCGGTAAAGGAATGTTGTCAGACTTTCCTCTGACCTCAATGTACAAGATAATGGAGCCTGCTATGACTATAATATGTCCACTTTGTGTGAAATACTGAGTGGCTTAAGTTGAAGTTCTAACACATTTGTTCCATGGATCAAATTAATTCTTATATAGAAATGCTGAGAATGAGCACAAGCAGTGTATATTATTGACATATCTCCTGTAAATACTCTCGTGTTGGCTGGGCCTCTGCTGGGTAATACATAGCTTGGTTCTTTTAGTTCTAAATAGTCATGAATTGTTTTGGGTCACATGCTATGTTTGATTTGACAAGTTGACGTAATGCATTCTGTCTTTATAAATGTTGCTTACGATGTTTTTTGGTTGTGTTACAGTGTGTGTGTGCGTTTTTGCCAAGCTTAAATGAGTTAAGTTGTATTCGTGTAAAATCGTGTAAATCTATTTTAAAATTACTTTTTCATGTGTTCAGTATTTTTGTTTTTCAGGACATGATTAAAAGAAAGTGTAATAATAGCTTCCTCTTTGATATTGTTTGTGCCTGTGTGTAAAGGACTGTGTGTGCCAGTGTTCCATGGTCCTAGTGAGTGGTCAGAATGCAGGTGGATGAGGCTTGATTTTATCATTTGTTTGAAACTATTTATTTTTCTCTCCATGCTAGCGTGGTTCTACATCAGCGAATACAGCGTTTGTCTTTCAGTCCAATGAGATACAACTGTGTACTTTTCTTAGATTTTTGCTAGATAGATAGGGAGATAGTAGGGCCATATTAAAGCGAGAACAATCTGGGAGACTGGGCTACAGTCCCAGAAAATCCACAAGAGAGGGGCCTCCACAAAAGAGATTAAAATATTTCCGAGTTTCAACGTGTCGCAAACTTTTACGTTTTTTTTTCCTAACATTTTTTTCACATATTTAAGGCAATTTCAAGGTAATTGCAGTATATCCTTAACCCTATTCTGCGCAGCCCCAGCTGTGACCTACACATCCAGCGCAGGCATAACCATTTTCTTTTCGCCGTCTACGTCTGTCCTCGGCAGCGGATTTTCTTTCGGTCTCAAATATGTATCTTAAGCTGCATGCAACCAGGTGCTCTCTTCAATGTCAGTGAAAGCAAGTTGAAGCCTAAGCTGGTCTTTAAAGCAGTCGACCACCTTTCAGCTTACCAAAAAAAAAAAACAAGGTTACAAAAGACAGTTTGTGTGGAAACACAAACTCAAAATCGGCCCCCGAAGTGGTCCACCCAGGCAGGCTTCAATATTTTCAGAAAGAACATCCAAATGAAATTATATCAAAGACAAATGAGAGATAAGAATCGAGAAAGAAGGCTGACAGATTTTGTGTAGTGCCCCAACGGTACAGCAGATCAAAGGATAGGTGAAAGCGAATGTAAAGTTAGATGTGAACCTGGCCTAACTAGTTCCCATTTCAGACCTTGTGGTCTATAGGGCAGATGATGTAAAGTTCATCTGTTTTTGTGGCCTACGGTTAACGAGGGTGTCATGTAAAATATAAAATATATATAAAATATGAGTGGTCAAGAAATTACAATTCATTTAATATCCACTAATTTGTAGACATTTAAAAAAAACAACAAAACATAAAAAAAACATGATGGGTTAAGAAATTACAATTCATTTAATATCTACTAATTTGACAACGCTAAGGTTTTCAATTGTAGTCAAACTGAATGTAAGCTATCTTATCTTGTAGACATTTTCAAAAAAATTAAACGAAGCAAAAAGGAACTCTGTAGTGTAATTGTATCCAATTAGTTTATGTTTCCTTTCAAGCACTTGGCATTTGTCGTTGTCACTTTAGGGCTAAAGGGGACATAATGTATTGAACTTGGTGGTAGGACGAAGAGGAAAAAGTGACGGATTTCATCCTAAGCCTCCATTCTGTCTCGTCAAATAGTATTTTAGACGTATAATAATATTTAATTTTACACAACAGAACAACATCTTTTCTATGAAGTAATACAGAGAAAAAGGACTTCCTTGATAAGTAGACTCAGTATTATTGCTTTAACAATCTTCAACATAAATGAGTTCATTAACAAAGCTGCACAGCAACATCAACAATCTTTCAGGAAATTGACTTTGAAGCAATGCTATGTTCCCAGGTAATAGCAAGTAATTAGGCAAGGCAAGCTAATATAGGGTTTTATACAGCTGCCCTGTATGCCTTATGTATTTAAAAAAAGACTGATCAGGGAACAGGTTAATCCCTCTCACGACAATTTTTTAAAGGTCTCCTTAAGATGTAAGAGGGCTACTCTAGCATCATCAAGGTGGCCCGTGGGTCTGTTATCTTCTTATCTTATATAATACAGACGTTACTTCAAAAAAGAAGATGATTACGTCCTACGCGTCATGCATTTAGTCATGCATATTAACCAATGACTTAAATTCTGCCAAGTCACTGGTTTTCCTGGCCAGCTCAGGCAACCCATTCCATGCTCTAATAACACTAGGGAAGAAGGAGTATTTGTACAAATTTGTCCTAGCATATGGGACGAGGAATATGCCTTTATCTTTGTGTCTTTCAGAGTATTTTATTAAATTTTGTTTTTGTATTTGAAGATTATGGTTCAGTGTTTTATGTATAATTGCTACTTTACTTTTGAGTCTTCTGTCCTGAAGGCTTTCTAAATTTAGTGATTTTACTACAAGTGCTACTCTAGTCAAATATGAATATTCATTTGTTATGAATCTCACTGCTCTATTTTGTGTCTGTTCCAGTTTCTTAATGTTTTCTTGAGTTGAGGAGTCCCAAACGGAGGATGCGTATTCTATTATTGGCCTAACCAAGGTTAAATAACATTCTAGAGTCATTCTGGGATGGTTAACCAAGCAAAGGTACTGCTGTATCACAATTGTTCAGGGTTCTGTTTGGAGGGTCATGTGTAAATTATTTCAGGATAGGGGTGTCGATTCAAGATTCTTTTTTCCTCTCATTACGAGGGGTTTAAAAATAAATAAAAAATAAATAAAAAATAGTTAATTTGTCTTAAAATATTACATTATTCATAAAAGATTCTTGACTTTCTATTGTCTGCCCTTGTCTATATTCTTTAGGATTATTGGTTTTGGTTATTTTTGTTTCTAGTCTCTTCGCAGGCTCCATTCAGTCGCCAGCACGTTGTCCTGACAAATCCTGGCGCTCGCGTGGAAATGGCCATTAGAGGAAGTGGCTAGGCTAAATGGGTAACAACACAGGACTCCCGTGGGGATGCCCACGGGTAGACGAGAGTCCACCCATTGCACGGGCGGGGTTGTAATAAAGTCCCCACAGACCTGTCACCAATCCATGCGCTGTTCCTCAAAGGGACCGTTACATAAATGGCGGGTCCTGCACAGTTAGCTTGGTACATTGAAGGAAAATGGCAGAAGATCCCGGTGAATTCTCGGCCTTCGGCCGTGTCTAGCCCACGCGTTGGGGGCCAAATGCATCGGTCAACAGCAAGCTTTACATAGGCATTGTCTAGGGTCTCTCCCAAACAGAACTGTGTGTTCACACAGGTTTGTTTTTTTTACTGTTTGGCGTCCAAGCAGGTTTTTTTTCAAACTTAGGGCTCGAAGAGCCTTCGGCTCAGCCCTTAGACATCAACAAGGCTCCATTCAGTTGCGTCTTGTTTTCTTGTTCCTTTGTTTCCCAGTATGTCTAGGATGAGGCTGCCGCTAAGATATAGACATTGTCATAGTGTTCTTGTTACGTTTCCACGGGCTTGCCGTGTTCTGTGAGTGTAGTACATACACTCTTGATGTTGACTTGTGACATGCTCTCCGATCATGTGATCAAAGAGGACGTAACCACGAGGGAGAAATAATTCTTCAAAAGTGTTGACTTCCCTTTAAAAGACAGTTCTTTAGTAGTTTTCCATAGATAAATAAAGTTCAATTTGATTCCTATCCCGCATCTCTCAGCCCAAACTCTCTTTAACCCAGGTACATACACACTCTCACACACTCGCATAACTACTTAAACTAATTGACATAATACCAATAGAGTAGCTTTACAGATTGATTACAGTATTTAGATTTTTATATCTGAGGTCTGACAATTTAGTCAATGACAATAAATTATACAATAATTGCAATTTCTATCTAACCAGTATAGTTATCAATTCTATGTTCAATTATTTTTCTAAATATTAACTCTAGATTATAAGGATTTAAAGATACATTGTTATTAACAACTTTAATTCTACTGCGCCATACAAGACTTCTGTGTTCACTCACTATTATTAGATTAAATTTATGAATCATCTTACTTTTGATTTTAGGCAATTTATTTAAAACAATAGCTAGGTTAAGATTAACGTTGGTGTTACAGTTTGCCTCTCGTAGGTCTTTCATAGTGCATCTAACATTATCAAATATTTTACATTTTAAAAACATATGGCTTTCATTGTTACCATTATCTGTGTGACATAAAACACATGTGTGTACATTTCTTTTCTTCCTTCCTACAGGGGTCATCCCGAAGATTAGTCTGTATGTTATTTCTCTGGCTTTGGGTGTAATGTGTTTGCTGTGTAGATTTATAAAAGTGTCTCTGAAATCTATTACACCTAACTCTCTACACCATTTGATCCTATTGAATAATCTTTCTTGTAACTGTTTCTTAAGTGTTGTATATGTGTCTTTTAATTTACTGTGTATTAGATGTTCATTGCCGGGTAGTATTCTTGATATGGATCTGTAAAATGGATGTGTGTTTGTACCAAAGTGGTGTGGGGTGTCATTTTTTATTGGAATTATTTTATTTAACCTTAAGCCGTAGTAGTATATTGTTAATGGAAAATTTTTTGGGTTCTTGGCTACTTGTCCTATGTATTTTAATCTAAGTGCTTGTATTTTGGTTCTGATGTCCTGTAAGTTTATCCCCCCATCCTCTTTGTTTTGTATAAGTGTTGTGTGTTTAATGTTTCTGATAGTGCTTTTAAATATAAAATTCCTAATGATTGTGTTTATGCTTGGTATAAAAGTTGGTGGAGGTTCTGTGATGTTTGCTAAATAAACTATCTTCGGGATGACCAGGTTGTTTACTAGTATTGCTCTACCAAATATAGTAGTTGCTGCATAGTGAAATCTTTTAAGTGTGTTTTTGGTTTTCTTTAAAATATTTTCCCACTGCTGTGTGTGGTAACATGTTGGGTTGCTTGTTCACGTGATGCCGCATATTTTAATTTCCTTCTCTATTTTAAGGTTAAAGGGGATGTTTGAGGGGATTTCCCACCTGCCCAATCCCATAATTCAAGATTTATTTATGTTGATTTTTGACCCGCTTGCCCTCCCAAATTGAATAAACTTATCTATGATTGCGGCTATGTCTTTTTCTGAGGAGGGAAAAAGGGTGGTGTCATCAGCGTATGCTTTCACTTTAACTACGGGCGTGGGGCCTGGGATTCTTATCCCCGTGATTCCACTATCTAGCCTGATGGTTTCTAAAAGGGGTTCTAGGCAAAGGGTGTATAAAAAGGGAGAAAGGGGACACCCTTGTCTAACAGA